CACATAGCGAAGGCATGCAGATAAAACATCCTCATACACGCATACACAGCACTGCACACTCATAACACAACTCTCAACATCTAACATCACTCCTCCTGTTATCACTGTCAATAGCGAATGCGCATTGCATCAACTTCCAAATCACTAAAACTAACTTGCACTTGAAAATAACCTTCCCTGGCTGCATGTGTCATAATAAACAACACCTCCGCTATAAACATCACCTCAGTGGACACACGCTGTTATAAAGCATCATCACATACACACACCGCAACATCTAAAACAGCCTCAAAACATATGATCAGAAGGCTGACATGCATAAAACTGACATTGCAATATTATCTATTACATATATCGAGTTTAATTTGCCCAGATGACTTGATTGGGAGTTAATTAATACTTTAAAAGCGATTGGGAGGATTTTGAAGGGGCTTAAAAATATAATAAACCAATCATGAGCATTGGTAAATGCAGTAGAGATAATACAATAAAATAAACAGTGTTTATAGTTTATTCTGGAGCACAAATTGAATAATAAAATGTAAACTAACATATACATAAATACATTTAAGCTATTTTTAAAGTTACAAACATTATAATTTCTTGTGAATGCTTTAAACTGGCTTAAAATTCTTATATAATCACAGGCCTAAAAATGCATGCAGATAATAACATTTTTGAAGTCAATATAAAAAAAGTCAACTAAAAATAATATGCATTTTGTATAATAATTTAATAAATTATAATATTTTTTCATAGACAGGCAGACAGATTAACATGAAGAAGTTTAATAACAAAATTATATATATTAAAAAATAATAAATAATAAAACACAATTTATATCTTTAAAAATGTTGCAAATACATAATTTGGACCAATGTTGTTATTATAAACATAAATAAATAAACAAAAAAACATTAACTAAATTAATATGCACATTTTATTTTTTAACAATAATTTAATACATTTTAGTAATATTTTAATAGATAGACAGAAAATGACTAAAATTATTTACAGTATTTTATAATTTAATAAATGAATAATATTTTTTCATAGACAGATGGACGGATGGATAGATAGATAGATAGATAGATAGATAGATAGATAGATAGATAGATAGATAGATAGATAGATAGATAGATAGATAGATAGATAGATAGATAGATGTTAACTAAAATAATATGCAAAAAATTAATAATACTTTAATACATTTTAATAATTTTAGACAGACAGACAGATATACATTAACTATAAAGTGCTATTTTTATTTTTTAATAATAATTTAATAATACAATTTAATAATTTTAGACAGACGGACAGACAGTTAGATAAATATTAACTAAAATAATATGCTATTTTTATTTTTATTATAATTTAATACATTTAAACAATTTTAGACAGACAGACAGACAGACAGACAGACAGATAGACAGATAGATAGATAGATAGATAGATAGATAGATAGATAGATAGATAGATAGATAGATAGATAGATAGATGTTAACTAAAATAATATGCAAAAAATTAATAATACTTTAATACATTTTAATAATTTTAGACAGACAGACAGATATACATTAACTATAACGTGCTATTTTTATTTTTTAATAATAATTTAATAATACAATTTAATAATTTTAGACAGACGGACAGACAGTTAGATAAACATTAACTAAAATAATATGCTATTTTTATTTTTATTATAATTTAATACATTTAAACAATTTTAGACAGACAGACAGACAGACAGATAGACAGATAGATAGATAGATAGATAGATAGATAGATAGATAGATAGATAGATAGATAGATAGATAGATAGATAGATAGATAGATAGATAAAAAACTGTGTAAATAATTTAAGGCCTTGTTAAATGACAATAACTTAAATGTATCAAAAAGACACATATTTTCACATCTTCTTGTACTCTTCTCAGTGGTGTCAATATAAATATCTAGTTCCTTAAGTATTACTAAGAGGTTTCTGATAAGCTCAATTTAGAACCACAGATATAAAATAATTAATACGTATAAATAAAAGCTTGATATGTTCGTGTTACTTCTTGTCACAGTTCACAAAGCCTGAAACAACAATCGAGGTAAAGTTGGGTTTACATTCACACAGGGTTTCTCCTTAACAATATAGCTAATTTTTTTAAAAGTATGCTTTGGAAATATTAAATATGAAAATCATATTAGCAGCCAGTGATTATCAAAGCACAACAATGTTCACATTCAATTAAATAGTGCTAATGCTCAATTTCAGACTGAAAAAAACTGATTCAAAGATGGTTTTGTGGATTTACCTTTTTTTTAGTTAAGTTAATGGGATGTAAATTAATTGGGGCTGAATTTGAACAAACAAATTAAGTTGAGCATTGCTAAATGTTATTTGTTTGTTTAACTTAAACATAAAAACCATTTGCAACAATTTTGCAGTAATTTTTAGGTTTAAGTGAGATAAAGTTGGCTTTACTTACACACATTCAGGGTTTCTCCTTAATAATATGATTTCATAAAAGTATGCTTTGCAAATTGTAAATAGTGAAATCATATTAGCAGCCAATGACAATCAAAACACAACACTGTTCACAGCCAATTAAACAGTGCTAATGTTCAATTTCAGACCTAAAATACAAAGTAGCACGGTAAACAATACAGGGACCTTGTCACAAGTTGTCACTGCTCAAAAATGAGCGAATGCGCAAATACAAAAGCAACTTTACCTCAATGACACACTGTGCAGCACTTGTCACATCCGCATTGCATTACTGCACATATGGGCAAAAAAAGCCGGTAGGCCCAAATCCAAAGCAGCAAACTGCAGCCACTAACGGGCTTCAAATCCATCAGTAAGTACCCACCGATCACCTCCTGGAGCTCGTACGCCTCCTTGACGATGGGCCAGCCGGTGGTGGGCGCGGGTTGCGGGGACTGGAGGGCCGCCGGGGAGTCGCTGTGCTCCGCCATGGGTCTGCCGTGAGGGTCGCTCCGCTGCTGGATCACATTCACTACCGCCTGCGACGAACACATCCGGAGAGACACATCGCGAATCCTACTACAGCTAGGGCTGAGCTCATGCATACTCATTCGGGCGCGATGACGTCTCCACAGGCGTGCTCGTGAATATTCAGTAGAGGTATGAATATGCAGTAGGTCGCGGTGACGTTGATGGGTGACCTTCGAAGGAGCGTCTGTTTTGATCTGTTCATTGTTTTGTTGTTGTTTACACATGATTGCAAAATAATACAGTAATGACGTATATTAGGAATATTGTTCATGTTTAATAAACCTTGCCTATGAAGGTATTAACATCATTGTAAATAAATAAATGGCTTCCAAAGCTATTTCAAAAGCCTTTGTTTTATAATTATTTAACAACAACAAAAATATTTGCTATTCATATGAGACAACCACAACAAAAATATTATTAATAATAATTAAATAAATAATAAATACATATAAATAAATAAATACATATCCAAACAATAGTTACATATGTATATTATTATATGTATGCATGTGTGTGTGTGTGTGTGTGTGTGTGTGTGTGTGTGTGTGTGTGTGTGTGTGTGTGTGTGTGTGTGTGTGTGTGTGTGTGTGTGTGTGTGTGTATAAATATCCAAATAATAATAATAACAACAACAACAGCAACAACAACAATAATAATAATAATAAATAATAAATAATAAATGTATGTATGTATATATATATATATAATATTTCAAAACTGTAAAAAACGTAATATGTATGTAAAGAAAAGCATATACATACATATACATATATATACATATGTATAGTTATATATATTTAGTTTTGATATAATTATTATAATATATACGGATAACTAGCATGTACAGTATAAATATAAATAATAAATAAATTAAAAAAATTAAAAGCCCATCATTTCAAGAGACACTGGGTTGAGTTTTCCAGCAGGTGGCGCCATCAAATAAGATTTCACAGCCAAAATCACCAGTGACAAGTGGCCCTCGTTAGCTTATTTTATGCTTTTATTTTGAAATTGTTGATAGAGTTTATTGCCAATAGACGCACTGTCGGGCATGGGCAAAAAATACATTGAAATGTTTTTTAAAATAAAATACCAAATACCTCAATTTTGTATGTTTTGAAATGAAGTACAAAATGCCAAATACCTAAATTTTAAATGTAACAAAATAGAGTACAAAATACAGCATCCACAGCAAGTATCAAAATAAAATACTGTATTTTTTATTTTGAAAATACTACAAAATACTTTTACAAAAAAGCAAGAGTTTTTATTCGCAAACTTTCCATAAATATGCATATTGGCTCAATCCTTTCACCATTAAACTGATTTACTGAAGTAAACAATGATTAAGAATAACAGAGCAAATTTATGTCAGCTTCTCTGTACCTCATTCACCTCTACTATACATGAGGAAGTATTTATAAAAAATAAAAAATGTAACATGTATAAGTTTTATTCGTAGCTTACATAAACTTGTTTTTGTCTTTGTTTTCCTGCTAGGGCTGTTTTGGCGGCTTCGTCGGTTTGTTCATTATCAAATAATCCAGCATGTCCTGGGATCCAACAGAAAACTATATTTTAAAACTTTCCCTGTAGTTTGTTTACTTTAATAAAAAGGTCAATAATAATGGGATGCTTCAGTTTAAATGTTTCAATGTTTGTAGACAAGATTTTAAATCAGAATAAAATATAAAATTATGTTCCAAAGCTAAAAATAGAGTCTTTCCCAGCTTGCAAAATTCAAGTGGCTCAAATCCAGCCCACACCATACTCTTACATCCGGCCCACATACCACATGGAATTATGCAATTGGGCGGTCCGCTCCTGTTTGCCAGATCTGGGCCACGATTAATCCAAAGTAATATCACATATCAGCCAGAATTCACCAATTGAACCAGAACTGACCCTATTCTGGGCCACAGTTTGCTGTTATTCTGGCCCACACACTGAATGGAAAGATAGCTCCAGGGCGGTCCGCTCCTGTTTGTCAGATCTGGCCACAAATAAGCCAAAGCAATACCACATATTAGCCAGAATTCAACCAAATAAACCAGAACTGACCCTATTCTGGGCCACAGTTTGCTTTTATTCTATCCTAGATCTGGCCTGCATCTTCTGAGTGTGGCAAAGTACAAACATCCCAGCATGCATTGCAGTATGAATACATTCTATAGCTTAGTTATGCTTCAGTTTTCATTATTTGCTTTTAATTCTGTTGTTTATGTTGGCGTTGTTGATTTTGTCACTTTTATTATCCTGTTTGTGAGTTTTGTTCGCTTGTCACCATTGTTGATTCCAGCGACGCTAGAGGGACAGACGAGTCTTCGCTGAGGCCATCTTCCAGCCTAAACCACGGCGTATGAAGCTCTGCACAAGACTTTTGGCCAGCGGAGAAATTAAAATGGTCGTGCCCAACTGAGTCTGGTTCCATCAAGGTTTTTTTTTCTTCACTCCCATCAGGTGAAGTTTTTTTTCCCTCTCCGCTGTCGCCACTGCCTCGCATGGTTCAGGATTGGTAGAGCTACGCATCGATGAATTTGCTCTTCAGTGTTTGAACTCTCAGTAATGATTAAATCACACTGAACTGAGCTAAACTGAACTGAACTGAACTTAAACACTAAAACCTGAACCACACTGTTCCAGTTACTATGACCATTTATGTGAAGCTGCTTTGACACAATCTACATTGTAAAAGCGCTATACAAATAAAGCTGAAAGCTGTGAGCAGACGTTGAACCGTAGAATTGTTTTAGCTTATAAACCTTCATAATTCTGTTGCATGTGCGAGCATGTTATCACTTTACTTTTAATAATGGATTAAACATTAAACATCACAGGTTGTGCCTCACTTCATTTATTTTTTTTACTTGGTTTGTTTGCTGTAGTGAATTAATTTTGTAAGCAAAGTTCTTAAAAGTTACAGCAGCCCATATTAAAAATGTATATTAAGAGGTTCAGGGCTGGCGTCGCAGTGGCTCAGTAGGTTGTGCTGTCGCCTCACAGCAAGAAGGTCACTGGTTTGAGCCTCGGCTGGGTTAGTTGGTGTTTCTGTGTGGAGTTTGCATGTTCTCCCTGCATTCGCGTGGGTTTTCTCTGGGTGCTCTGGTTTCCCCCACAGTCCAAAGACATGCTGTACAGATGAATTGGGTAGGCTAAATTGTCCGTAGTGTATGAGTGTGTATGGATGTTTCCCTGAGATGGGTTGCAGCTGGAAAGGCATCCGCTGCATAAAACATGTGCTAGATAAGTTGGCGGTTCATTCCGCTGTGGCGACCCTAGATTCATAAAATAACTAAGCCGAAAAGAAAATGAATGAATGAATGAGGTTCAGGGCTAAGAGCCCAACTAAAGCAAATATTTTTCTCCATGATGGTGACTTTAGTCTATGTGGTTCACATATTTTAAGATAACTGGGCCACATTTGCCACATCTTCTCTGGGCCACTTTAGGATCAGATCCACATAGCTTACTGTGCTGAATATTTGCCAAAAGCGGCCCACATATGTTTTAAGGTAACTGGGCCACATTTGCCATATCTTCTCTGGGCCACTGTAGGCTAACGGCTGCATTAGCCAGAGTTTACTGGTGCTAAATATTTGCCTAAAGTGGCCCACATATGTTTTAAGATAACTGGGCCACATTTTTCATATCTTCTCTGGCCCACTATAGGCTAACAGCTGCATTAGCCACCCACATAGCTAAATTTCTCTGGCCCAGCTCTGGCCCACATGCCGCAGTGAATTACGGTACATGACTGGACCAAATCTGGCTTCCAGACAAGGGCTAAACACCTACCATATTTGGGCCAAGTCTCAGCCAAGTTTATATCTTATAACTGGGCCTGAACTGGGGCAGATAGGTTGGTGTGTCACGATTGCAATCAAATTGATAAACCCATGGAGTGATGCGCTTTAGGCACACTATGGGCATACTTTTTCTCAAAGTGACCTGATTGGTAGAATTTTTTTTCTTTACTCAAAAATTATTTAAATGTATTTTAAATGTGGGTCAAGACTGGCCAAACTCACGTGGCCCACATATTAATTTGTAAAATCTGGTCCAGATACTACATTTTACATCTGGCCCAAATCTAGTGTACCGCCTTAAAGATGGTGCCACCTCTGCCAAACCCGGGCCATGTTTGGCCCACATGCTGTATGCCAATGCCGGATGAATGCCTGCTGTCCCAGCTTTATGCCAAATCTGGGCCAGAATTCTTTGCTACTAGGGCAAAGTTTACTGGTGCCGAATATTTGCCAAAAGTGGCCCACATATGTTTTAAGATAACTGGGCCACATTTGCCATATCTTCTCTGGGCCACATTAGGCTCACAGCCGCAATAGCCTGAGCTTACTGTGCCAAATATTTGCCAAAAGTGGCCCACATATGTCTTGAGGTAACTGGGCCACATTTGCACATACACATGTGAGCCACTTTAGATTTAGACCCAGATTACTCTTAAATGACTATGCCACATTTTTGCCAACTGTGGCCCACATATGTCCTCCATCATTTGGGCCAAATTTATAATTTTCCACATGGGCCACATTAGGCTCACCTTCAGATTACAAATTAACTGTCGTAAATATTACTCAAAGTATGAGTAAAAAGACCTTTCAAAAGTACTCAAGATTAGTGGGTATTACGCTGTAAAAAGCTGATGCGTTTACATGTAATTTGTGCATGTGTGTGTGTAAACGTAACATTCTGTAGTGCATCTAGTTATTGCCCTGCAGGCACACAATGTCATAAGACATTACTTTTAGGTTAGATTTAGGTTGTTACGTCAGGTGACCAAAATTCAATGTCTAGCCAAGGATAACATTGTTTTGATGTCTAATAACGACATCACATGAAGTTGATATTTGGTCAATTTTAGGTCGTTAAAAAGTGACCAAAATCCACAGTCAAGCCAACATCTTAAACCAACGTCATATTGACGTCAAATACTGACATTTATTCATCAGGTATGGCAACCAATATCTAACATCTGATAAACGTCATAGTTGTACCGTCCACACAACATCAAGCTGTAACATCATTAGACATTGATAAT